GGGGGTTGGAACTAGATGGTCTTTAAGGTGCATTTCAACTCAAACCATTCTATGATTGTGTGATTTTTGATGTTTTTATATTGAAGCCTCATCCAGCCATTAACACTCCTATCAAAGAAACTGTTCAAGAAAGCAACCAGGAACCTGCTGAGGGGAGTGAAGAAAAAGCAGGAGCCAAAAGAAGAAAGTCTTCTGTTCCAAAAGTAAGTGACTGAATTCGTGTTTTGTTTTACCTGCAACGTTTTTAAGTCAGAACTGTATTGCCAAGTTTTCACTTAAATGCTTTAACAGTGTTCTGCTCTTTTAACTGCCTTGGCTTTGCTTGTTTTCAGATGTACATAGTAATGATTTTGTCCCTCTGTATTCCCTTTAAGGTGCTGTACATGTTTTTAAAAATTAATTTCTTTACTAATCTATATTTCTAAACCATAGTACAGTTAAGCTAAATTGATACAGTATTTGCTAGGCAGGAGAAGGGGTAAATGATCACCAAGATTACTTTTAAGTTTCCCTTTCTGTTCTTGAAGACTTCTTAATATCACAGACAGGTATGACTGTCTCTTTCAATTATGATGGTTTTTACTGCAAAGCTTAACAGAGCATTAGGTTCTGACTGGGTTGAAAGGGTTTTTCAGTGTCCTTACCTGAACAGATTATAAGAATCAGTTTAAATTAGGCCATACTCCTAATGGACTAATTAGGATATAAATGGATATAAAGGATTTCATAGCTGTATCAGCTGGACTCTGAGTCTGATCTGTGAGTAATCAGTGTACAGTAGTTGATGTAGACAGTGTTTAGCTTTGCTTTGTAAATGTGTGCATACTTTAGAATCCTTCTGAAACATGATTGTGTTCTCTTTAAGTATTGTATTCGCACTAAGAAGATGCATTTCTGTCTCTGTTTCACCTTTGTTTCATCTTACTGGTGCTGTAGATAGTAGGTACTGTAAGAGGTGAACCTTCCTAGCTTACTGTACGCTTAATTATAGTAGTGTAGCATGCTGCTTAGAACTTTCTCTGTCCTTGGATGTTTTGTTCATGTGGGGTTATTTTTCAGTTGGCACGGAAGAGATGCTGTGTGTCATGTCTTCTCAGTTTTAGGGGGTTTTTTTAGGATAATAGAATCCTAAAATGACAAAAAATATGCAGATGGGATTGATACATTTATGGTATCTCATTTATTTCTGACTTATTTCTGGAAATTACTGCTCTGCAGGGTGAGCAGTGCCCTTGCATTAAACTATTTTGAATAGACTTGCTTTAATTCTGACTGTTTTCCTTTTGATTACTTGCCAAGATTTAATGTAGTTTTTCTGTAGGTATAGCTGGCTGCTGTTTAGTATTGATTCGCAGCTGCAACTGAAGAATTTGCAATGCGTGAAATACATAGTGGATGTTCGTTATGTGGGAACAGTGTGAAGTAGCTGTAATAGCTTGTTTTTTCAAGAGGATAAAAGACCTTTGATAGAAAAAAAAATAGTGTACTAGTAGTGCACTGGTAGATAATGTTGAGAGTTGTTTTGGTGAGTTGGAGACTGTGAAGTTATTGATGGGTTATTTCTCCCAACTTCTTACTGTTTAGATTGTTAGATTAGTTAGTGCTTCCACATTTGGAAGGTCAGTGTGATTTGGGTTCTACCAGCTATACTTCAGGAGCACTCTTCAATATGCAATTTCCCAGTAGTATTAGTAAGCCAGGGCTTTTTTCTTGCCAATGCACCCTGCTAATAAAAGCATTTGTTCCTCAGCATTTGCTACTGCAAGGGGAAATTTTTTTTAACTGGACTGGTTCATCAGTTTGCTTCACTGTGAATTTATGCAGCACGCAGCATGTGCTAGTGGGGATGCCTTAAACTTTGTGTTTCTCCTGAAGAAGTGCTTTCAGGCTGTTTTAAGCTGCCACTGTGAAAGTGAAACAGGAAGACATGAGTCATTTAAACAGAAAGATGGAATGGAAGATCCTGTACAGGTCCTTTTATGTAGAATTCTGTAATTAGTCTCAATCAGTTAATCAGTTTAAGGCAAAATATGGAGCAAATTTACTCCTTTTCTCTCAGTACTAATGTAGCTATAACATTATTTTAACCAGTTGTTGTACTCTAGTTTCCCGTGCTTTCAGTGTACCAGTGATTCTTCTTTCTTAAAGTTGTTATCTGTAGAAAGACTCCATGATATTACATGTCTTCAAGTAATTAGCAATGTTGCATGATAGCCTTGTGCTTGAGTTGCTTTGTTCAATGTTGAAATTTTATCAACTGTAACTACTTTAAAAGGGGATTTCACAAGAAGTACTTGCAAGTGGGACAAGGCAATAGCATTAAAGTTGAGAGAATGAACTGAAGATCTGAAAAACATGCATGTACATAGGCTGCAAAGATGTGTTAATTATTTTCAAGTAAATTACTACAAACTCTTGATTTTTCAAATCTTAGCTGCTCACTTAAAATGAAAACTAGTATTTTAAGGTTTAAAAAAACTCCAACAAAACAGGAAAAAAGGTACCGATTCGATGACCCCTGCGGCGGGTGAAATGACCAACACCGAGATGTGTTCAGGCATCAGCACTTTACTGAAGCTTTGCACTGCTTATATCTCCTTTCTTCCTGCAGCACGCCCCAAGCACGCAGCACTCGTTCACTTTTGATTGGTTACCCCTTATCACACACAGGTGCCTAAACAATTGACATGATTGGATAATTCCACCTGTTCACAAGCCATTATTTTACTTCTGACTGGTTACTAATTACAGCAGACAATTATCCCTTATCTTGTCTCATACACATTCTTGCTTTTTATTCTGCTTTGTTGTTTTATTTTATCTTTGCTCAAGGTCAGGAATTAATTTCTCAAGGCTGAAGCTGCCTGCAGCTTCAACTCTTAAAGCACCAACAGACCCTAATTACTAATTACTGTCTCACACATAAAACAACTTGTTTGTGGTCTGTTTGTTACATTAAGTCTTTAGTAGAATGGTGCTCTCTGCTAAACGTGGTCCATGACTGGGATATCCATCTGTATGTAACAGATAAAGAGTGATTCAAATGATTTTCAGTGTTGGCGTGAACATTTAGAAATACTCATGTAATGGCAGCGTGGTGAAAAGGTGTAATTAGGATATCATGAACACAAAGTGGAATTTTAAGTTCCACCATAGCACATTGCTGTATTTTGACCTGTTCTGACAACCGTCTGTAATCGTGTACTGGAGAAAGTGGTCCTGCCTTAGGCTTTTAGTGCGTGCCTAAGAAAGCAGTGTATTGACAGACTTATTTAAAGTGAAGAAGCAGCCTGATGGCTGTTACTAGCGAGTTCTCTTTTCACTATGAAATACTTTTTAATGCTTTTTTTTTCTTTCACTCTGTGTTGACTGCCTTTGCAGTTATCCCCTAAAGGGGATAATAACTTACCTACAGAAGCTGAAACAGAAGAAAAGGAGATGGATACTTCAAAGGAAGATGATTTACCTTCTGAAAAAAACAGTAAAGAAGTATGTGAAAGGTTTTTTCTGTGTACCAAAGAACATGTTAATATTATGTTGATTTACGTAAATCTGTTACTGACTACTAAGAAGTTAGTTATTACTTCTCTGACAGTCTCAGGAGCTGTTTATAATCATTATATAAAACTTCCTGTGTCTTCACTCATGTTTATACCTCTCATTGAAGCTAACAGGAATTGAAGTTTTCATTAGATGAAACTTTTAGTCTGGCTTGTCTGTAAGTTCAATTAAAATAGGTGGAACAATGTGGTTTCTATCACTTACTCTGTGTTGCAAATGTACTTTTTTAAAGGACTAGATAAAGAATTCAGACAGACTAAAACATGACTACATACCTTTATTTAAAACAGAATATTATTTAGTACTTATTTTATTTCTTATTTTTCAGAAAAAATCCTGATTACCAGATAATCAGAATTTTAGTAACTTTAAAGCCAGAAATCTTCATATATATTACGGGCTTCTTTCATAAGTTATGTGCCAGAGGCTTCAGTTGTGGAAAAAAACTTAGAATAATTTAAAATACATCTTTGTTTTGTTAAGACTCTTAGCCCATTTTCAATCTTCACAGGATGTGGTGAAAGCAAGCGATGCTTCTATTCCTAAAGTTGCTAGAAGAGGAAGAAAAAGAAAGGTAACAATATGTTTAATTACTTCACCTTACTGGAATTTTTGGATGTGTTGGTATTGAATATTGTTTTCTTTAATGACATATTATGTGTAAATTGAAGTGCTTGGCACACTTCTCCCCCCCTTTCAAACGGCTGAAAGATTTGTAGGGATAGAAGTTTTCCCAGATTGTTTTACAAGTCTTAATTCTGTTTGAACTTAATCTAGAGGAGGGAGTTCCCATGTTTTCCCAAACAGTCCATTGCAAGTAACAAAAACTAAGATATAAACTGTTGCTAGACCACTAATAAGATAGTCTGTTTTGAAGCTCTGAAAAATTTGTTTTAACATCTTCGTCATACCAGACTAACACCTAAGATACTCAACGTTTTCATGAGGTTGTGATTGTGTGGTCTCTTCAACTTGGGGAAAAATGGGAGTTCTTTGAAAGAGGCAGTTCCAGCTGCTTGCTCATCATGCTCCAGCTCTAACACTCATGTGGCCGCACAGCGAGGCAGATCAAGGCACTGACCCAACTAAAAACTAGATTAAAGTGGGGAAAAGTTTAATTTTAATTTGAAACCGTTTAACTTGTAACATTAGTACTGACAGCCAGGATGGGATGAGTGTGAAGTGACTGTGACCTTAGTATGTTTGTTAGAAGTGGGTAGCATGCTGAGTATCATTTACTTAGTGAAAAAGATACATACATGTGTGGATGCTCTTACAGAAATGACTTGAATGTTTAAAAAAAAAAATTAAGCAATACTTTATTTTTTAAAAAGTAAATTTTATAAAACTCTAAAATAAAATTCAAAGAGGGCTTTTAGTCTGAAACAGCAAGAAGTTGGAAGAATGTGTGTAAGTATGCATACATGTGATTGCAGCTTGTAAATGGGAGAGAAGCCTCACAGATGACATGCACACACACAAAAAAAAAACCTCACACTTTGCTTTTTCAGAAGGCACTTGCATCCTATGGTTGTGGTGGTTTTTGTGTTTCTTTTGAGATGGTGGGGCTTTTTGGCATCGTGAGGTACTGCAGACCGAAGATTTCCGCTGTCACATTTGCTAGCTTTAGCTGACAGACTTGTGTTGGCACGTGCTGCATGTGGCAAAGGATTCAACCAGCAGTTTGCCTTACTGCAGGCCGTTGCTGAACAGAAAAACATAGTGTGTCAAGGGATGTGGTGTGTGCTTGTGGGTCAGAAAAGAGAGCTGGCTCTGCAGTTATGTGACTTTGAATGTGTTTCTTATTTGCCTTAAGAAACATGGTATTTTATGTTCCTGGGATTGTAAAGCATTCTAATGGGTACTGTTCTGTCTTTTAAATCATCTTTCTGTAGGCTGATGGGAAGCACAGTTAATCTCACGAGCGATGTCCCTCTAGTCTGTTCCAGATTCAAGTTTGTCTCTGTTCTTTAAAATTGTATTTTATTATAGGTACCCACAAAGAATATTAAGATAAATATGTATTTACCCATAACTCTTGTGTTGCTGCTAGCTGATGCTCCTGCATCCAGAACACTAAATCCTGTGAATATTTTCTCCAGTTGGAATTTTTCTCAATTCTTTTTATCTGTATGTATGAATATGGAATGTTTCTGCAGGGAGATATGTATCCTTCCATCAAGATATTCTTTTGTCATAAGTTCTATATGTCTTAACAACCCAACACCCCTAAAATGACTATGCAGATTAAGGTCATTATGTCCAGTTAGCGCAGCTTGACATACAATTTTTCATTGTGAATAACTGGCTGTAGAGCTAGAAGCAGGTGTTTTTCTTAACAGCTCCATCTACTGGCTTCATATTTTGATGCAGCTAGGGGAGATGCTAGCATCTAAAAGAGTATTTGTGTATGGGGGAAAAATATGAACTTACCTGCTTAAAACTGGCGATGGTATGTGACTTGGCATGATGGTATGGTGATCTTAAAAATACTTTAAAATAATCATTTTCCTTTTTCATACCAAGATAGTACATTGTTCTGAAGATGAATGGGCTGGTTGAAATTATATGAAACATCAGTATATCAGGTAGTGATGGGAGAGGTCGAAATTAGTGATATTTATTTAAATATAATGTTACTGAATTTGGAAACTTTTTATTTCATGTGTGGAAACAATAGCATAGTAATGCATTTATAGAAGTTTAAAACTGTTGTTTGAGAAAGTAATTGAGATACTGGTGCCCTGTGTTTTTTCACTTGTGAAACTCATTCTTTAAATTAGGCTGAAAAACAAGGTGAAGCAGAGGAAGTAGCAGCAGTGACAACGGCAGCAATGGCAACAGCAGTGGCAGCAGCAGTGGCAGCAGCAGCTCCTGTGCCAGTGTCTCCAAAAGTAAGCCCCAAAAGAGGAAGACCAGCAGGTAACTTCAAAAGAAAGATTTTTTTTTTTCACCATGGAAATATCTTAGTAGAATTAGTCAGGGAGCTGTCTGTTTCACCTAAAGTACCGCAGAGTATTTTCCCTTGATAAAGGCAGTTTTTGCTAATAGACTGTAATGAGGAAACAACTCATCAAAAACTGATGAATTTAGTATGTAAATGGATTTAAATTGTTAATATTAATACTCAGTTCTCTAAATAAGACTCATCATTTTTCACTACAAGTATCACCTTTAGAAAAGTCTTCTTCATAGAATGCTGCTAAACTATAGGTGTACAATAAGAGCTCTTTGTGCATTGTTACTCCATAAAGGTTTATATTCATTAAAGGTCTGTAAAATGCTTTAATTGTGTTAGAATGTCTGTAAAACATGAGGAAGAGAACTGGTAGGACACAGGGGAGCTAAGAGGCCAGTAAAAACAAACAAAGAGCTGGAGAGACTTGTTTAAAAAGATGTTTAAGGCAGTCTGTGTAGGCTGATAGACAAATGAAAAGGAGATATAACTGCTTTTTAAAAAATGTATAATTAGAACAATTTGGTGATAATTCTACAGTGTTTGTTTCTTTCAAAGTAGTGGTGATATAATTTGTCTGAATTTTTGTGGTAGGCTTGCAGATACTCTTGAATTGATCATTAATTACTGCATCAGAAAACAGTTCTTGCAGCAGTTAAGTACATCATATGAGCATCTAATCTGGGAAACAAATAATTGATACTCATCTGTATCTGCTGACAAAACAAAAATAACTTTTAGAAAGTGCAACTAAAGTTAACTAGACTTAATTACTTTTGCCTTGGAAGCTGTGAGGAAATTAAGTATTACTTCAGCTCCTTTTCTATTCTCCCCCTCCCCATTTCATTACAAGTACTAAATGTACATTTTAAATATTTGTATGTGTTTTTATATCTACAATTTTTTGGGGTTTTTTTTTTTTTTTTACTAACTACTGGCTGTCAGAGCAGGAGGGGATCTATAAGAGATGCTTTCACCTCCTGTATAAAATACTGTTTTTATAAGATGTACTATGCAGCCTTTTCTGGTGTTGATGTGATGCATGCATCTCTTGTTTAACGGTGCTCTGTCCTAACACCAACAGAAGTTTAAACACTTAAGTATTGGGTTTCCAGACCACATGTTCACTGGTATCGCTCAGTCATTTGAAGGATATCTGCCAAGAAGGCAGATAGACTGTTTGTCTTATTCCTAACAGTGCGGTGAATCTGAGGGAATGCAAAGTTTTGCTCTGTACTGTAGTGTGGTGGTAGAACTTCTTGACAGTGGTTTGTTATCAGGAAAAGTGATGGAAGCCTCATGATGCATCTAAAAGTAATGGCAGACTCTGTAAATGTGGATGCTAAGTGATTTCTTTCCATTGTCCAATTTCAGACTTTTTCATTCTCTAATTTGAGACTCGTTCATATTAGTTATGCAAGATGTGAAACAAATCTGAACTGCACAGACTGTGCAAAAAACACAGGAACTGGTAGTTGGAGCCTGTGGCCTAAAAACCACCAAAGTTTTAAATTTACTAATTAGCTAGAAAACCTACCAGCCTGTTAATCAAGATCTCCTTGAAAAAATAAAGTTTGGTACTCAGGTTACACTTGGATTTTGTAGAATAACCAAGTTAGGGTGTATATTTTGATTTCAGTGTAGCTTCTGTCCGTTGAGTAAGAATATTTCTTCATAGACAAGTTGCAGGTGGTGATTGTGGACTAACTTGTTATTTCTGTATCAATACCAGCTTCTGAAGTAAAGGTTCCAAAACCAAGAGGGAGACCCAAGTTGGTGAAACCACCTTGTCTTTCAGAGAGTGACCCGTGAGTTGTTCTTTTTTGTTTCTTAATACAAAGTTTCTTCATTGTAAACCATGTTGTTCTTTATGTTAAGACTTCATAATTAGTCCTGAGTTCCTGGCAGGTTTTTGACTTTTCAGTATTCAGCATGAGTTACTGTTTGCTTTAATGTCATTATTTACAGCTCAGGTAATTAATACATAGTAACTCAAGGTAGTACATTTGTGGAACAAGAGACAGGAGATCTTAACCTTGCTAACTTGTAAAATCTGTGCAACATTGCTTATACAACTGTATGTATTTTTGAAGAGTCATTAAATGAACTGAGAGTGAATTAATGTAGTAATTTTAAATATTCTGTGGTAAAAAAAAAAAAAAAGTTCCTGAGTTTGAAGAATGTAATGTTTTAAACTCACTGTAGATAACAGAGATTATGTCTAAATACTGTTCATGTTTTAGTGTTAATGAGGAAGAGAAGGCAAAGAAAAAAGGACCAGAAGAAAAGCCCAAAAAGCAAGGGAAAAAAGATGAGGAAAGTCAGAAGGAAGAGGAGAAATCAAAGAAGGAATTTGACAAAAAGGAAGGAAAGAAAGAGGCTGAACTGAAAAGGAAGAATGCTGCAAAATTAGGTTCTGCATCAGCTTCTGATTCTGAAGATGACGGAGAAGAACAAGAAGGTGACAAGGTATAATTTTGCTTTCCTAATATAATTTTGATAGAGGAAGGTAGAACCACTGGAGACCTTGATAGAAGTGAATGCTAGATCTTAGGAAAGGTTGGAGCTCTGTGGCTGGCTAATATAGAGAGATAGAATAAAAGCTGCAGAACTTAATTTGTCAAATAATTATTTCAGGAATTTTTTGGTATTTTGTATAGAAAAACATCTTTCTAAGACACTTCTCTTTTTAACAAAGGACATTTAGAATGTCTTCATTTTTCTGGTGCTTAAGACATTTGCCTTCTATGAGAAAAGGAAAAAGGGAGAAAGGACTAAAGAAATTCCGAACTTATCAGCGTGTGGAGGTCTTGTATGTGGCTGCAGGGAAAGCCAGTTCTTGTTAGTTTGTTCTGTGGAGCAGAATTGTTTCAAAGATATTTAGTGTAGGTAGGCTTACCTGTTTGCAGAAACAATGATTTAATAATCTTGCTTTTCTCTTTTTCCAATCCTAAAATCCCAAATAAAAACAGAAGAAAAAAGGAGGAAGAAGCTTTCAGGCAGGTCATAGAAGAAACATTGTAAGAGGCCAAAATGAGAGAGAAGCAGCAGAAAGAAAGCGTAAGCAAGAGGAACAGGCAGAAACTGAATCGTGAGTATGTTGTAACATATATCTGCAAGTTGTAGGAGTACTTTTAAACTAACAGGAGGAGACATATCTGAAAAAATTCTAGACTAGTTTGCACTGTGTTCTATTGTTCTCTCCCCCCACTCTTTTCTTTTGTCTATTTTAACTTCTTTTTAAGTGGAGAGTAAAAAGCTCCTCTAAACCAGTATATTCTGTTGTGGGAGGATGGGAAGAATTGAACCTAGAAAATAAATTATGTCAGTCTTTCAGTGACTTAGCATTTCTAGCAGAAGACAGCTGGTGGGTTCTGTTTAGAAGTAACCTAAGAATATCCATGTGAAAAGGGATCGGCATGAAAAACTGTTCAGGTCAGCCATGTATTTTTCTTTACAATTTGGATCCATTAGATCGAGAACTGGTAGGACCTGTTAATCCATGCTTATGGGGTTTTGATCAGGTTGTAGCATGCATAGGGTTACCTGAAAAACATTTCCTTCTCTGTCTGGCAGCTGGAGCACATACTGTCAGACAGAACAAGGAAAAAATTAAGAATTGCTCTACTCTAGCACTGCAAAGCCAGTTGAGTGATACCAAGAGCAGTCTGCATTCAGAAGATAAATTGTCACAAATGAAACAAGCATGAGAAGATCCTGCCAGAAACTGGGGCGGGGGGGGGAATGGGGGGGGACACAAACTAAGAAGAAATCTGACTCTCAAGAGCTATTCTGCAAAGGGGTGAAGAAGCCATCACCACGGGAGCATGATGTTCCCATCCCCACAGTTGGTAGGAGGGCGGAAGAAAGGGAGGACAAGGTAAAAATTCAGAGAAAAAGGAAGAGGATAATGGTCCCCTTCACCTGTAACAACAAAATTCTACCTTTTTCACATTCATTAACAAGAAAATAGTTTGTTTGGGGTTTTTTATCCTATAGCCCTTTCTTCTCCTCTTCTTCCTGTCACTCCTTCTCTGGAAACCTCACGTAATTACTCTACTTGCCTGTAGCAAACCTAAGCATTTCCAACTCCAGAGATACTAAATTGTCCTTAGCATCTTTGCAGCTCTTAATACATCACTGTTTAAATCTGACATATGCTGATTGATTTCTGCAATCAAACTGTCATGTATTGATTGGGTTGTAATAATCAAATCTCCTCTCCTTTTAAATAGCTGTCATATTTCATGCATTGGAGGGTAGTTAGAGCTTTGTTTCAGTAAGATAAACGAGTAGTAGTTAATGACTACATAATGACTTTAGTCATAGCTGATGACTAATACCAAAAAATTCAATATTGATAAAAAGTGAAAAGACTTATTTTTGTGCTGTCTGTCTTCAGGTTCCTCTACTAATATACTGAACACAGGCTGATGCCTTTTTTGGTTATTTTTCTCATTAGCATAGTTTCCATTTTCTGGTCTTCGTGGCTACTTCATTAATGTTTAAGTTTAATAACAGTACTTTGTACACTGTTCAATACGTATACAAAGTTTACATGTACCATTTAAATGACATGAGCTTGTGCTGCCAATTGAAGTCTTAAGTACTTGAAAACTGTTATTATGTAACTGGATAGAGTATGAAAGGAACGTGAAAGATGATAGCAGCTCTGAGTACTTTGTGGATGCATATTACTATGACAGGAGGAAAATGAGTTGCAGAATATTTTGTCGTGATGTGCTGAAATATGCAAATTCTAAAATGAGCCTTTCAGCAGGACAAAACTGAGGAATTGCTAAACAGGGGTTCATCATCTTCCCTGAACAGAGTTCAAAAGCTTGTTTGAAAGACTTCTGCCTGTCTTGATCCTGTAACTGAGATGGAGACAGGTTTTGTTTTGTTTTTCTTGAGTCCCAGCTTTTTATTTTTAGTGATACAATTAGAGAAAGAGCAAGGAGATTTCAGTGAACTTGTAATAAATGTTTTTCCTTTGTTACTGTTTGCTTCAATAATATTTAAATTATCACTGATACATTTATGGTCAGTTGTAGGATACTTACACTGTTATAATTAATTATATGGGAAAATAAGTCATATAGGAACTGATTATGACTAATTGATCTCTCCATAATTCCCTCTGGTAATTAAGTGGTTTTACTCTTTTTGTCACCGTAATAATAATATTTTCTTTCTCTGTAAGTTAGTTCCATACAGTGCCATTTTGCCAATTTGTACATGCAAACAAAATAAAGTACGCTTTGGAAAGGTGACTTGTTTTTAAAATCCTTTAATTTGCTGCTTCTTGGGAAAACCATCTGTCAGTATGTAGGATTTATCAGCAGTATCTCAGCTAACTAATTTTGTTTATTTATTTTAGTCTTTGAAAAACAAGGTTTGGCTCTTTGTAGTTTTTGCATGCTAATGTTTTACTAAGGTAATACCTCAAAACATTGCATCTCCTCTAAAAATTGGAAAAGAAAGACTGAAAAACACACTTTACAAAATTGTAAAAACACTTTAACATTTTTGATAGGCAGAGTAAAGAAGAAGGCAAGAAAACAGAAATTAAGAAGATGGAGAAGAAGAGAGGTTAGTTTAAAAAAGCTGAACAGTATTTTTGATCATCTAAAATTTTGAACAGAATTATTTTCCTGAATAAGAAAATATACTGCTAAGGGTGGCTGTGGGGTCTCAGTCTGAGATGTTTGATCCATGACTGCTTCCTTCAGGTCTGTGAAACAGTGTGTTCTTCTTGTTCTGTGTTCTTTCTTTCTTCAGTGCACTAGAACAGGTCTTTGCTATTCTCATTTTACGGTCATTTGAGCTTTTAAACCTCAATGATCCCTTCTGTTTGTGAGCAAGAAACAAAAGCTGTTATTCTTTGAGCTGAATCACTTTGCTTTGTCTCTTCATTTTTTTCCTTTCTATCTTCTTGTAACACAATAATCTGAAGGACCTCTTGAAAGTATTTAGATACTACTTCTTACTAAGCAGGATGCTTGCTAAGCAAGAGGCTTGTTCTTCCTACAATAAGCTTAGGTTCAGATTACTGTAGTCTTGTCTACTAACCCACACTTGCAAACTGACCTTCATAGGGATAAGTCATTCCTTTTTTAGTATTCCTATATTTCAGGGCAATCCAAACCACTGGCTATAATTTGTAGTATAGTACAGATCCACTGGCATGGACTCCAACCAATCCAGTGCTGCCAGGGCAAAAAAAAAATTAGCCAAATGCATCCAAGATGGATTGGACTAAAAAAGGAAACTGTTTGCTTGCAGTATTCTTCAGAATACCTACCCCTTGTGTATGAAAAAATCCAAAAAGGCATTCAGTATGTGAATTAGAGACGGGCGTGTTCATTCATCTTGCGGGAGCACATGTAGTGGGAACATTTCATTTGGATGGATTTGGACTGTAACTTGAATCACGTCCAATTTACTGAAAACAAAACCATCAATATCTGGGTATTCTGTCACTAGAGGCTTTCCAGCTTTGTAACTCTTAGTACTTACTTGAAGCTTCCTTTTAACCTGGCCCACAAGTAGAGAGTGACAGCTGTATATTGAAATGGAAAATTACTTCCAGTTTGTAACTGCTAAGGAGAAAACTATATAGGTTGCTAATAGTGTCCAGTTTTAAAAAGCTTTGTATTTCTATTTCTGGTAGTAAGCCATGTGGTGTATTTATTTGTACTCCCGCATCATTATCTGATGTGGAGTGCCTGCTCATATTTTTCTGCATTCTGTATGAAGTTCAGATTTGTAGAAAAGTTACAGCAAAAACAAACCTGATGTGATTATCAAATATTCATGCATACTGTTTTTAATCTTCAGAAACATCAATGGATTCTAGGCTTCAAAGGATACATGCAGAAATTAAGAACTCCCTGAAAATTGATAATCTTGTAAGTATTTTTTTAACTGATTTATGTGCATAAATCCAGTAGGAAGTACTTGGCATGTGTGCTTGTTTTTAATTAATATTCTGAGCATGAACAGAATTTTTTGTTTAAAAGATAACTGCTGCTTAAATGAGGTTACTGTGGACTTGAAAATATAAATGTCAGCAAGTAAAATTGGTTTTATTTGAAAATATTTCACATTGGGTTATTTACCAGAAACATTCAGACAGAATTCTGTCAAACAGAGCATCTTTGCCAGCTCAGACTGAGCCAAGCAGAAGCACATGAGTGTAGTAGTGGCAGACTCCCTGATGCAAGGGATGGAGGCCCACATCTGCTGACCCACTCATTTGGAGTGTCACTGCCTGATGGTTGAGGCTTGTGTGACCTTAAGACTAGTAGCTGCAGCTGGTTTTGCATGTTAGGCACCAATTATATCGTCAGGGGAGACATGCAAAGTAGACCAGTATGGGTGACATCCTGAGGATGTCTACTGCGGATCACCTGATCACGCAGAAGTAGAGAATGAAGTAATCTTAAAGCAATTGGGAGACCCCTCCAGTTCAAAGGCTCTGGTCCTCACCGAAGGCATGAACCATCCTGCTGTCTGCTGAAGGGACAACATGGGGATTATACAGCAATCCAGGAAGCTTCTGGAGTGTGACTGAGATGGTGCAGTTCAGGATCCTGGGAGGAGGGAGTAGGGCAAATAGGATCACAGCCCTGGACTCAGGAGAGCAGACTTTGACCTCTACAGGGATCTGCTTGGAAGAATCTCTTGAGAGACCATGCTGGAGAGAAGGGACCAGGAGATCTGAATCACTTGTAGAGATTACCTCCTTCTCAAGATTGATTCCTCTTGACAAGCAGGAAAATAATCAGACGTGGCAGGAGGGCTGCCTGGATGAACATAGTTCATTTAACTACTATGTTCTAACTACTATGGACACAAAACCAGGAAGCATACAGGAAGTGGAAGCAGGCACAGGTGACCTGGGAGGAATATGCAGACACAATGCAAGCATGGAGGGGTGTGCTCAGGAAAGCAAAAACCCATCTGGGTTTTCATTTCTCTGGGGAGAGAAATGAAGGACAACAAAGCTTCTTCAGGTACCTCATCAGTAAAGGAAGACTGGAAAAATGCTGCTCTGCTGCTGAATGGGGTGGGAGATCTAAAGAAAAAGGACAAGGAGAAGGCCATGGTACTCAGTGCCTTCCTGACCTCACGTTGCTCATACAGTTCCTTTCAGGAGTCCTAGGTTCCTGAGACAAGTGGAAAACCCAGAAGGGGAAAGACTTGATGCTCAGTGGACAAGGATGAAATAAGGGAACTTTTAAACAAAGTGAGTCCTGATGCAGAATAAACCAAAGAGTGCTGAGCTGGGTGATGTCATTGTGCATCCACTCGTTTTATTTTTGAAAAGTCTTGGTGATTAGGGGGAGGTTCCCAAGGACTGCAGGAAAGCAAATGTCACCCTCATCTTCCAGAAGGAGCATCTGGGAAACTGCAGGCCAGCCAGTTGGGAGATGATGGAACAAATCCTCCTGGAAATTGTTTCCAGTAATGTGAAGGATCGTAAGGTCTGTGGAAGCATGGGTTCATGAACTGGAAATCATGTTTGACCAAACTGACATCCTTCTGTGAGATGACTGGCTTGATGGATGAGGGAGAGCAGTGGACGTTGCTTATATTAAGTTTAAAAAAGCTTTTGACGCTGCTTCTCATAAGAACCTCAGACAAACTGATGAAATCTGGACTAAATAAGTGGATAGCACAGTGGACTGAAAACTGGCTGAAGTTCAGTGGAGGTTCAGGTTTTGCACATGGGGAGGAATATCCCTGTGCACCAGGACAGGCTGCGGACTGAGTGGCTTGTCAGAAAATGACCTGGGGGTGTTGGTGGAGACCAAGCTTACCATGAGACAGCAATGTGTTTTTGTGACAAACATGGCCAGCAACATTCTGGGCTGCATTAGAAAGAAAGTTCCAAAACATAGAAGGAGGTGATGGCTGCCCGCTGCTCAGCACTGGTGAGATACTGGATCCCATTTTAAGCACCCCAGTACAGTAGAGACATGGAAGTACTGTAGGGAGCCCCATAAAGGGCCATGAAGATGAATTAAGGGCTTGGAGCATCTGTCACAGAAGGAGAGGCTGAGAGAGCTGGGAGTGTTCAGCCTGGAGAAGAGAAGACTGAGAGGGAGATCTTCTTCATATCTGTGAATACCTGAATGGAATGTGGAAAGATGACAGAACCAGACTTTTCTCAGGGACAAGAGGTAGTGAACACTGATGCCAATACAGGAATTCCTTCTGAAACGTAAGAAAAAGGTTTTTTGGGAGGCTTGGGTTTGTTTTTTTTTTTTTTTTTTACAGTGTGGGTTGTCAAACACTCAGATTCATTCATCTAAGTTTTTACACTTAGGAATCCACCCTTAAGGTGGTGCAGTGAAAACAATTAGGGAAGGACCAGAGCTGTATCTTCTTTAAGCCTATTTTAACGTCTATGCCTTTGGTGCTTTCAAACAATACTACCAGGTTTTTTGAATTCCTGGTTATTTGTGCTTTTGTGGTTTGTTTTTTTTTTTTTTTCTCTTTTATTTTTTTTTTTTTTTTTCTCTTAAGTGAAATCTCAAATCATGAGACCAGAACAAAAATATTTTACTAGTCTCACTTGAAGGGGATGCAAATCTTCAAAAGTCCATTTCCATTTAGACAACTGAAAAAGCAAATAAAAGGCTTGATTCCATCTCTGCCTCTGTGTACTGCTGAAGACAATAAATTTCTCACTGTGACTATTAACTGGCCAGTGAGAGGTGCGAGAGTGACATCAGTTTGCGGACCTTCCCTTACTGATTACGTGGACTTTTCATGGTACCATGCCATGGATGGTGCTGAAAGGGATTCAGCCTTTGGTTTAGTATCCTCATTTTGCGAGGGCCATCTGTACGATGAGAAGACACGAGTGTCGGTGAAGTACAGCAGCATGAGAAGCCGCAGGCTGTGCCAGCTCCGGAGCTCAGCGTTGTGTTGGGTGTCAGAGACAAGGTTCTGGTAGTGGGGGCAGGGCGCTGCCCAGTGTTGGACACAATCAGTTCCAGCCAGCTCCAGCGGACCTGCCACAGGGCCTAGCTGAGCCCCTCAGCCAAGATGGTGGTGCCTCTGTGAAAACTTATTTAAGAAAGAGCAAAACACACTGGCAGAGAGAGGAGGAGGAGGGGCGGAAAGTTTTTTTTCAGCAGAGGGAACACCAGGGTTGGAGAAGGGACGGGGTGCTCCATGTTGCTCGAGCAGGGAGCAACCTGCAGCCTGTGGAAGAGACCACAAAGGGGCAGATGTTCACCCTGCAGCCTGTGGAGAGCCAGTGCTGGAGCAGAGGGGAAGGTGAGAGGGAAGAACTTGCTGAGTGATGCACTGACTGTCTGCCCCCCTGCATGGCTTGGGGGTGGGGTGGGGAGGGGAGTCTGGAGTGACGGGGAGCATGGGAGAGGGGAGAAGGAAGAATGTTGATTTAATATTTGTCTTTGTTTCTCATGACCCAAATCTACTTTAATTAGTAATAAATTAATTTTACCTAAGGAGTCTGTTCGGCTCACAACAGTAACTGGCAAGCAATATTCCTGTCTTTATCTCAACCCATGAGCTTTCTCATCCTATTTTCTCACCCTGCCCTGTTGAGGATGGAGAGGTGAGTGGCTGGGTGAGCATCTGGCTGCTGGCCAAGGCTAAACCATGACAGTGTTAAATAGGAAACATTCATTTCCAGTGTGGCCTATTCTTAAATTATGTTATTTAAGTCTATGCCAATGGTTTTGTGTCAAAAAAGCAGTTCACTTTAAGTAAAACTGAGAAAGCTTTTACTTCACAAGGGGATGGCTTGGCTTCAGTAAATCACTCTGTCCTGAGCTAGACAGTAAATTCCCCCAGAATAATAAACTAAAAAACAAAAGTGGAAACCCCCCAAAACTCCACTAAACCTCTGATTCAGAGTTTTAATGGAGTAAATATCTTACACTACTGGGAAGAACATTGGTTGTAGAGCTGCAGCAAGGACACTTAGTTTATCATAATTGTATTTATCAAGTACATGCAATACTAAGAATTCTGCTGAGCATAGTCGTGATATGTTTGTGTGGGTTTTTTTAATTTTCCTTGAGAACAGGACCTACAACTTTATACAAGATGCTGAATATTATTATGGCTTGTGCTGGTGACAGATCTTGTAAGTTTTAAGTAGCAAGTAAAATAAGAGCAGCTGAAGATAAGGAAATGGAGAAGTATTACAGGAAGAAGACTAGTACAGTGATTCTTAGAAATGGATCAGAAGCTTGCATGACTTCTGGGTGTCCTGCATAGTGTGTCATCCATCAGACTTCTAACTGAAAAAATCTACAAAGATACAGTTCTGTATATTAACTGCAGTCCAATTAAGATGCTTTGCTACTTTCTCAGTGGCAAGTCACTTGGAAAAAAAGATGTATAGAGAACAGCTTCAAGCCTAGAAGGACAAGAATTGTGAAAGCAGCATAAAGGTTGAGTTTGTATTTTGAAAAGTATAAAATTATTTCTTTAAATTGTAAGTTATTCAAATAGTATCTGCCTTTTGTTATGGAAGTATCTGAAAGACAACTGATCAGTAATTTTTGTTTGCAAGTTTGACTGTATAAATTGTTCTAAAGTTAAAGGCAGTCAAAATTAAGGATATTACAGGAAAGTATCACTGAGCATGGAAATTAATTTAGTGTGGCTAATTAAGGATTATTAACATGTAAGTTAAGTCTTCAAACTAATTTCTTGTTTATATGCAGGATGTGAACAGGTGTATTGAGGCTCTTGATGAGCTTGCATCTCTTCAAATCACAATGCAACAAGCTCAGAAACATACAGAGATGATTCTGACTCTGAAGAAGGTGAGATCTGCAATGTTAATCAAATTAACCTGTATGTTTTCTTAAATTGCAATCAGCGTTATTTACTGCTGGAGTACTGTGTCCAGTTCTGGTCCCCACAGTTGAAGAACAATGCGGACAGACTGGAGAGGGTCCAGAGGGAGAGGCATGAAGATGAGCAAAGGGCTGGAGAACCTGCCTTGTATGGAAGGGGTTAGGTCTTTTCTTCCCACAGAGGGGCCTCATCACAGTATTCCAGCACTTAAAGGGCAGCTACTAAGAGGATGGAGGCTGTCCCTTCACAGGGAGAGCCACATGGAGAAAACGAGGGGCAATGGGTGTACATGTTGCACCAGGAGAGGTTTCATCTTGATATAAAAAATAATTTTTTTTTACAATCAGAACAATTGTTCACTGGAACATCCTCCCCAGGGACATGGTGGTATCCCCATCACTGGAGATTTTCAAGATGCGATTGGACAGGGCGCTCAGTCGTCTCATCCAGGTTCTCTTTCCCATGAAGGGTTGAACCAGATGAGCTTTTGAGGTCCTTACTAGCCTGGACTGTTCTGTGATACTTCAGAGAGTGTAAAAGTCCATGAATTTCATTTCAGGTTAAATTAAGAATTTCAGCTAGCATCTGATGGAATTATATAGGTATTTAAGTACCCAAGTGGAGCTTATTGTTTTATTACTTTGATTTCAGATACGGAAATTCAAAGTTAGTCAAGTTATCATGGAGAAATCTACTATGCTATATAACAAGTTCAAGACCATGTTTCTGGTTGGGGAAGGAGATTCTGTGCTTTCCCAAGTACTAAATAAATCACTTGCTGAGCAGAAGCAGCACGAAGAAGCCAACAAAACCAAAGAACAGTGGAAGAAAGGAGCAAACAAAAAAATGGAAAAGGACCAAACAGGTAAGTCACTGTGGTTTTAGTTTCTTGTCATATAAAAGACCTAGTCTGCATCAGTTTCTGAGACAGCTTAAAAAAAATCCTTGATGTAAGAATTCTGCCTATCTATTAAAATGTTTACGTATCTGAAATAGTCAAGGACAGTACTGCTATAACTAAGTTAAAATTTCAAGGGTGTAATGTTTTCCATGGCTATTTTACCTTTATTGCCTGAAGGGAAGGGCTTTTGCAAGAACTGAGTTTACCATTTTTTTATGTCTCTGTAAATTTTCTAACTGTATTACCTGGTGGAATTAAAAAAAAAAAAAAAAAAAGTCATGAAGTACAATAACATAACATACTACCTTCAGTTCCTCAAGTAGCCTTTTGGGTAGCCTTAGTCTTCCACCTGTGCTTTAACTGCTTAATTTCCTTCACTAGCCTCTTCCTATATCACGCATGCTACTATGTGTAGCAGCAGCTTTTAATGCAACTTAAGTAGGTCAGTCTAACAGTAAAGAAATAATAATAATTTAGGGGAGAAGAGGCCTTAGTGCTCTCAGCAGTACTATTTCAGATTAATCATGAGCGCTTGTACAAGTACAAGCATGATCTTGAAAGCTTTCCATAGTAAGCATGCTCTACAATAATTTAAGTCAATTAATTAAAAAAAAAAATGAAAGAAATGTAGTAAAATAGATACTTGTATTTTTAAATAGAGGAACAGAATGAGACAGACACTAGCAAGCAGTGTTGCAGAAGAATTTAAATCCTTGAAGATGCAGGAGTTCTACCCATCTATTAAAATTATTTAGATCCTTGATCTCCATAAGCACTGGAGGGAAATTATATTTACTTTCAACTTGAATCCTGGGAGCAAAACTGATTCAGAAAACTGTTTGAAAGTTAGACCACCTGGATCTGAAATAAACAAGATACTGTAACTGAGGTGATTGAGGATACCAAGGATTCAGAATAACTGTAGTTGAAATGCCACAGTACTTGTAACTGCTAAGAAAGCAAGGATGATGATAAAATCCAACCATTTAATGGTGAGAGAAGTATGTATGATGTAGTAGAGGTTCCACACAGATCTTTCCCCAACCCAGTGATCAGCACAGCTAATCCTTTAAGAAAGAATCTAAACTGGAAGACTTCTTACACCCAGTCTGACTAATGAACCTACTCTGAATAAGGCTAATGCTGGACTTCAGCAGAACACACCGAAATACCATATTGTTGCCCAGTCAAATGGAGAATGGTAAGAAGCTTTACCAAAGTAGGGAGATATTTCATGGAATTTGATTTTTCTTCATTTGTTACAAAGAGAAGTTCTGGTTCCTTATGTTTGTACTTCTGCCCTTTTAAAAACTGAACTGCTGAACTCTTACTGCCTTTACAAATCACAACAATTAACAGCAGTTTGTAACAAGGCATTATAGCATTTCTAGTTTAATTGAATTCCTCTCATGGCATTCAAGTTCAGAACTGATTCTGAGCAAGTCTAAATAGCTCAACTACTAGAATGTCATCTTAAAATTATCTTGTCCGCTTTTTAGCATCTGTTAGTCTGTAAGTATTCAGATGACTAATGTCTTGTGGTTTGTTGGGTGTTTTTTTTTCTCGCTGTAGCACAGTAGTTTTAATAGAGGGGGTTTTTAGTAAACCTGTAACTTCAAATAAAATGGACTGTCCATTCTGACTTAAAGTGACATTCCTTAACAATTCACTTAAAATCCACTAGCTTGTAATACTAGAGAAAAACATGTATTCATCACAGAAATTTAATCTCACAAAAAAAATGCATTAAGTATTCCTGCGTTGACTTCATTTAATACAGCTTCTGCATAGTGCTTTGTTTTCCTGCTTGACAATTGCATGCTATAACTCAACACTCTTACTCTATTTGTATATATTGTTTGTCATATTTTGATTATATACATACTTGTTAGAGTTGAGAGTAAATGAGAATTGATAGGACTAATAACTTCTCCAGTTGAAGTATGGGAAATCCCCAAAAATTTTCTGACCAGGTTAGAGTGGTAAACAGAATTTACTGCTGGAGTATATCCTCTCACTGCTCAGAATATGAATAAGCATTAGTCCTGTTATCTGTACCCCAGCAAGCACAAGAAGAACTCAAAATTACATTAAATATATACCGTTCATTTCCCATTATTAAAATTATGGGATGAGTCTCATGCCTGGAATTTTCAGAATTTGAAGCCGTATCTGTTACTACTTTTTATATTGTTTCAGTTGCTGGGTATCAAAAGGAGGGGAAAAGATTTTACAGAGTTTGAGATGATGAAGGTAAAGAAATTACCTGGGGCTTTTTATAACACGGTTTTGCTGCCTCTAGTATTGTTTTCTTTCCCTGCCCTTTCATTTTAAAGGTTCAAAGGTTCTGAATGGGGCGTCTGAAGCTCAAGACACCAACCAGTCACAACACAATGGAGAGAACACTGAGGAAAAGAAAGATAGGCATGAAGTTGGCAGTAAGAAAAAGTGAGTCAATAACCTTACTGAGCTAAGGATCGCATCTGCTCTAGCAAAATGATGTGACATAGAACAGCAGTAGATTGAAGTTACTTAACCATGTTGTGGTACTGTTTTCTTCACAGAGGTCTCTCTCAGCTTTAGAGAATAACAACAGCATGCAAATCTTTGGTTAAAGTTTTGAATGAACATTTTAAAAGTTACTTCACTCACTGCTATGGTGGAGACTTAGAGAAAATAATTACAGGATGACCTGTGAGGAGAAAATCAGGATGTGGTGCGACAGGGCAAAGCATGAGCTTTTTCCTATGGTTTAGATTACTTGATGCTATTAATTTGAGAGCCAAGGAAGCTCACAACCAAGTCTTGCAAACTAATAGTATTTATCTCGCTTTTGGAGAAATTATGTATTCTAATCAATAGCCAAGCCGCTTCAAGTAGCAATTCTATAGAGCAGCTATAAAATTGTCCAAATGCAGGTAAAACTGCAGGCTGTAGCTTAAGCCTGTGAAATTTCAGAACTCTGAAGACTTTATAGAGGTTGATGCATTTACCTTTTCTAAACAAGAAGCCACAGGAATGCTTGAATTTGTCAGGAGGTAAGTATTTAAACCTTAGCCTCACTAAAAAATGCTGTTTTGTAAACAAGAACAAACAGTGAATCTCTTGTAAAGAGTACTACATATACTTAATAGAGTTTAGTAAACAATGAGGAAAAGGCCTAGAATTTCCTTGAGATTGTTTTCTTGAGGGTACCACTTTTTCTTCTCTGAGTGCTTCTGCACCTTGTGCTCAGGGATTCTTTTTGTCCAGCAGTGTGTATTGAAGCAAGCTTTCCTTTCATCATAGTCATCTTGCAGGCCAGGAGAAACTGCAGTTGTCTGGCACTTTTTTGGCTGTCTACCAAGTTAAAACTACAAATGAGTGGAATACAGACTGTTGTTTACAATAAGGTAAACTTAAACAGAACCAACCAGAAAAACCCCTTAAGATGCAAATGAATTTGATATTTGCTGAGATTGATCCTCAGAAGCCAGAACTACTGGCTTCTGAGGATCAGAAGGGACAGCTGTCAGAAGGGACATTTGGGAGTTTTCAACCAGTGACACCAAATACTCGTTTGGTCTGAACAAGCAGCACGTTACGGGAAGCGAAGGCACAAGTGTAGGTTCCTAGCACAGGTTGCACAGCCTAGCACACCGCTTAAATGTGCACGAACAAAGTACAACGCCTGAGTTACTTGAAATCAGTCAGTAATAATAGAATATACTTGGCAAAGTATTTAAAAATAAACAACTACTAAACTGGTTCTCAAAGGTAGAATTTTTTAATGGCCTGTTCCTCTCCTTGTTCCTACAGAACCTGATGAAGACAAAGAGACAATCTCAGTCAGGTTACACTTTCTTAATTCTTTTAATCACAAATACTGGTTAAAAAAAAAAGTGATGCAGATACTTCAGATAGTTATGCAACATGCCTGGAAAAGGCTGTTGAATATGAAAAGTGTAGCAAAAAAAGCAACCTTGAGGCAAGACAAATGTATATTTTTAATACTTCAGTAATTGTGATTGTGTATGTAAAACTTTTGAAAGATATCTTCCATGCATGAGCTAGTGGGGGTGTCACGTTCTGCTAATAAACATTTATATCTTTAAGTGTGTGTGGTGTTTGCTATGGCCTTGACCTCTGCACTGCAACACTTTCTTTTACTTACCTAAAGAAAGAAACAAACCCACTTTACAAAAAAAAACTTGTATGGCTGCTTGGGAGCAGTTGCTCATTGTTGGCTAACAGCTATAAGCCAGGTTTTGTAACACCTCTTGCAGATACCTTGAATGTTGAGAAATGCATCCACACACCCATTCTAAATTCAGGCAAACTACAGACTGGTTTCTCTCTCCGTCATACAAACTTCCTTTTGTTCATTTTTTTTCCCCATACATTTTTATTTGCAATATTGAGTTCCTTAGAAGGGAGAAACTAGTAAGCAAAATAAAGATGAACAAATCATTGATATTCAAAACACCCCTGCAGTTCTCACTGTTGACTCTTAAGTAAATAATTTGTAAACTTCTCAAATCGCAGAGCTGTCTATTCAGTTATGACCTTTACTCCCTTTGATAGAGGTAAGACATGTCCATACCTTTCTGAAGGTGTACTTCAGAAATTTTGGAAGACAGAAGTCATGTAACTTTATAGTTCTGAAGTGACTGGCACTTAAGAACATCTTTCTTCTTATTATTTGGTAAAAATACATACTGCTTCCTGAGGTTACTTTTGTGTTTGGGACACATAATGAGTTGCTCCTGGTGACTAAGAAAAGGTAAGGTATGTTAAGCCACAGTGCTTTTCCACCTGGGCTGGCGTATATTTGTCAGCAGACTAAGAAGGGCTGCCTGAAAAGAGCACAGGCCGACTGGCGAGCGACTGCCATTCTCAGCTGGTCACGTACACAAATGTGATGTCAGTCACTAACTACCAGCTTAGCTTCATGTTTAGGGGTGGTCACTGTAAGGGAGCAGACAGACAACTGGCTTCACTGCCTGCTTCTGTTCTCCAGACTGCATCTGCTGCTGAACATGCATCAGTATCATGTACTCTATGCTACAGATGCATCTGGTATAAGTTTTGCTTTCTGCAGTTTTACATGGTCGTTAATGTGGCTTTATTTTGTTTCTAGGACATCTGGTGAAGAGAGAGAGCTTGAAAAGCCAGCAAAAGATTCTGCCTTTGAAAGCAAATGACACCACTGGAGTCTTTTTTTTAAATACAAATTGAAGAGGATTGTTAAGTTTTGCATTTGAAATCTATAGACTGCTGAAAGTTTTAAATAATTTTATAAGCATAGTATTTTGAAGTTAAATTTTGTTGAATAAAAGCCCTTTTAATCTTGGTTTAAAAGTATTTAAACACTTTTGCCAATAGTTTTGTCCAGTATTAACAGGTAATAACACATTTCAAAAGATAAAAATTGCAGTTAGAAGACAAATGCTTACATGTTACAGGACTTAGAGTTGTAGTATATTTTTACCTGACTACTGTATGTTTGTCTAGCTAATAGCAGGGAAAAGTGTAAATACTTTTAACTGCCCAATTGCTTTATTTGTATAAAACCTACTCTCTTCCTAGGATACTGACCTCTGTTTGTGCATAGTTTTTCAACCCCTGTTGGGATGTCTTTTCACTGTGTTTTGTAGGAGTTGGAAGCAGCGTTTTTATAGCTGTTAAAATGTTAATGTACGAGTATACTTAATCACTTTTTTTAAGCAAGTTTAGTTCTGTTGCAAAACTCATTGTGCCAATTTGCTGCAATGTGACTTTATGGTATGCTTTTGGTATAATAAGTATACTAGAAAGAAACGTGGTGTTTTCACATCAACAACCTGTTGATGCACACTGCTTGGAAAACACTGTCTTGAACAGTTTATGAAAATAAAGAATTTAAACTGATACAGAGAGACTGGTTCTTACACTAATTTATGTAGACAGAAACATTTCTAGGAAGAAGAGTCTGATTTTAATACTGTTGTGATTTTATTGCCTTAGCATTAACTTGGGGATTTCTAACTTGAATTTTAAAAGAAATACTGGTAAAGTATTTTAAGAAAACTTCCTAAAGGCATGAAAGGGAATGAAATAGGTACAAACCCCTCTGAAAGTTCTTCCTTGAAATGCACCCTTTGCCTAATATCAGAACTAGGAAAAACGTGTATGTGACTAGAAGATGGTACTTGACAGAGGCCAGGCAGGTTAGGAAATAAGAGTTTATTAGTCTTCACAACCTTGCTAGGGGATTGTTGGGGAAGGTGACAGTATTCCAGGTGTATGTGTATTGTGTCACCTTCAAGGCAGCAACAGAAAAACATTACAGCCTGGTGGAGACCAGTACTTCTGAAGCTTTAACTCACACCATGCAACAAGGAAGAGCTTTCAGTACTGCAGCATGACCAAAACAGCATGGTATCAAACACTGAGAATTCAAATTATGTCTTGTTTACATGCCTTGTAAGTTGGTGTCATGGCTCCTTTAGTCAGGAGTCATGATTTTTGTTGCTCTTTCATTTTTACCCAGGGTAGTACAGAGAAAAGAGATTTCACAGCATCACAGAATGGTAGAAGTTGGAAGTGACCTCTGGAGATCATATTGTCCAAACCCCCTGGCAAAGCAGGTTTCCTACAAGAAGTAGCACAGGAAAGCACCCAGGCGGGTCTTGCATATCTAGAGAAGGAGACTCCTCAGCCTCCCTGGGCAGCCTGTTCCAGTGCTCTGTCACCCTCGCCATAAAGAAATTTTTCCTCGGGTTTAAACAGAACCTCCTGTGTTCCAGCTTGTCCCTGTTGCCCCTTGTCCTATCACTGGCCACCACTGAGAAGAGTCTGGCCCCATCCTCTTGACACCTGCCCTTTAGATGTTTATAAACATTAATAATGTCCCCTCTTCTCCAGGCTAAACAGACCCAGCTCCCTCAGTCTTTCCTCCTAAGAAAGATGCTCCAGGCCCCTTAATCATCTTGGTGGCTCCGTTCTGGACTCTCTCCAGCAGTTCCCTGTCTCTCTTGAACTGGGGAGCCCAGAACTGGACACAATATTCCAGATGCGGCCTCACCAGGGTAGAGCAGAGGAGGAGGAGAATCTTCCCTCAGCCTGTTGGTCACACTCTTCGTAATGCACCCCAGGGTACCCTTGGCCTTCTTGGCCACAAGGGCACATTATTGCCTCATGGTCAACTGGTCATCCACCAGCACTCCCAGGTCCTTCTCTGCAGGGCTGCTTTCCAGTAGGTCAACCCCCAACCTGTACTGGTGCCTTGTGTTATTCCTCCCCAGGTGCAGGACCCCACACTTGCCCTTACTGAACTTCATCACTTTCTCTCCAGCCTGTCCTGGCCTCACTGAATGGCAGCACAGCCTTCCAGTGTATCGGCCATTCCTCCCAGTTTAGTGTCATCAGCAACCCTGGCCTCGCTGAATGGCAGCACAGCCTTCCAGTGTATCGGCCATTCCTCCCAGTTTAGTGTCATCAGCAAACGTGCTGAGGGTGCACTCAGTCCCTTCAAGTCACTGATGAATATAGTGAATAGGACGGGACCAAGTTCTGACCCTTGGGGACACCACTAGCCACAGGCCTCCAACTA